GGATAAGAGACTATTACTGTTTTCTTCTGCATTTATTCCTTTCTTTCAAAAATGTATCTTTGGTTTTGTAAGGCTTCTTTGCCTATAATTGATTCCCAAGAAAAGCACGAATATAGAGTCACATTGATGTTTCAAACACAACTTCGAGTGTGCCATAGATCACTTTGCTTTCGTTGTGCCAAAGGAATGAATGCTTGTGACAAGCTGGTGTCACCAGGGCAGCACATGATTCTGGTGGCACTGCTGACAGCAGGGATCAGAAAGAGCAAGGCGTGTGGGATCCCAAGTGGAGGAAAAGGCACTTCTAAGGTGCCCCATTCCTGCTGTTTGAATCGGTGTTTCTTGTTTTAATGTACAGGTAATGTGTAGACATGAAACTGCAGTAATCCTGGCTTTTCTAATTGGCAGAATGAATCAGCTCTTCAAACTTCAAACAACACTGTAATTAAGTTAGCATTTAAACCACAATACCGATAGCCAGAGCTTAATTCCTAGAATCACTGCTTTCCCCTAGCATTATTTTAAAGAATTACAGCTGCAGAAAGACAATCCTGTCTGTTTGATAACAGGATTAGCAGCATATTACCTCCTGAATTACATGTTCTGGATTCAAGATCTGGAGTTGATACTCAAAGTGCTTCTGCATGTGATTACTGTCAAGTAGGTTGATTATTTTTTGTAAGCTGTGATTGCAGAGCAATAGTTCTTAACAATTTTAGTGCATAATGCAATAGGGAAGGCACCTTCACAAAGTGCTTAGGCGATGGAACAGAAAAGATAAAAGATCCTGTGTCTGGTCTGTGATAATTTTATGTCTTTATTTTTTTTTTTTATTTGTTTCTTTGTTTGTTTTAATCTGTATATCCTTTCTCCAGTGTTTAAATTTCCGTCTTGGGAGAATAACGGTCTTCTTCAAAAATCATTCTTAGTATCAGACGTACATATGTATTTATGTATTTTTAATAATACTTTTGAATTAGAAATGTCACTTGTTCAGTTGCTGCAAAGTGGAAGGAAAAAGAAAATTATGTTTGGTTACTCAAAACATTCATAACCCAAATGGAGGAGAAATAATGAAGCAGTCTTCCTTCCTTCCTTCCAGATTTTTTCATAAGGTGGTCATGCTGGGTGAAATGAACCTCTAAAGTCCTATGCACCATCATAAGATGAGATGTTGCTAGGATTAAACAGCTCTGCTATTGCTAGTCTGCCTTTATTTTCCACCTGTCAAAATCACATTATCTTCAAGCATATTTATTCCGGAAGTTTTAGAAGCAGGACATGTTTCACCCATTACTATTGTCAATGGTCCCATTACATAAAAAAGAGAAATACCAGGTAACTCAGTTTTCTATCAGCAGAAGTAGAGAATATGACATATACAAATAACACATGAACAGCTGGAAAAGGGTTCTGATGTGTAATAAAAAAATAACATGTTGCTGGGAAATAATATGTAAACTTGAAATAATTATGTAGGCTGACACCATCCCAAAGCAGTGCACTCTTTCTGATTAAACCTTAAATGGTTTTACAGTGGGAAATTTTATGGTGTCCTACTGCCTAGAAACAGGGAGAAATGCTTGATTGGTCAATATGGTTGGTAAAGCACATTCTAATGTGAGGAAATTTCTTCTACAGCTTACTCATTGCTATTTGAGTTCAAATAAATACGTTGTAGAAAAGGCACAGGAGCATCTTAGGCAGTTTCTATTGTTGGTGCATCAATTTCTCTTACAATAATAAACTTACAAACATCTTGTCAGCACTGAAGCTGCATTTACTGAAACTGCCCCGCATCACAGCACTATAAACTTTGTTAGTGGTGAGGATGTCTGGTCACTTCTGCTTAAAATGGAGCAATCCACCTTCCTGGCAATTCATTTGCCTTAAGGGGAGAATCAGTCTCCATCGTGGAGTTCCCTTCCTACTGAAGTGGTGCAAGTACAGATCCCTGTCTTGCAGGAAATCCTTTGCTGTAAGAACTTATAAACCAAGTGTCCACTGGTGCCAGTTTCACTGACATTCGAGCCCTACTATATTAATTCCCCAAGGCATTGTAGAACTTGGCAGATAAAAATGAAAATCCAAAGTTCTGCCTTCTGTTCAACATCAAGATATTTGCGGTTTTTAAATAAGCTCTGAGACCCTTAAGCTGCACTGGGGTTTGCAGTGGTGTGCAGACCTTTTGTAAGGGTTTCTAATGCTATGTGCCTGCCTTTTTAAGCAAGGGCTTTCTTCCTTAGTTAAAAGTTTTAGCCTTAGTTAAAAGTTTTCCACAAAATTGGCTGGTGTGTCCATGCATAAGTGTTTTTCAGAATCTGCCAAGTCAGGGTGTAATTATTTTCTGGAAGAAATCAGTGTCTCCTCAGTTCCACAGTCTGAATATTTGTGTGTCAGAGTACATAAGAGTTTAAATTGTGTAGCAATGGCACCTTAATCAGTAGTCTTTGCTAGATTCTAGAACCTTTTTACTATATCTACTTATTAAACAGTTCTTTTCCTACCTTTGTATTTATGGATATACTCAGGTCTCTGATATTTGGCAACTTAGATGGTATTTCAGTATCTACAGCAAGAAAAATGCAAGCAAAAAAAGAGAATTGTTTTATTGCATGATATAACGGATATTTACAAGTATGATATGTTTTTTCACTTGTTGGCTGGGTTTTATTATTAGGTTATCAATATGGCAATATTCTGGAGTTAACAGCTGCTGGCACTGCATTAACAGTATCTGACAGTTGGTTTTTTTTCAAAAATACACTGTTTAACAATCTCCAGGAAAGCTCAGTTGTTCCTCAGCTCATTTTAGGGATATTTTCTCAGTTTCACAGACAACTGAGTGAGAGCATGTCTGTGTATTTTGGGACAATCGTGGCTAAGCATAGCTTTTATAGATTTGGCACATAGAGCTATGCCAAAAGCACAGCACCTCTGAGTAAGAGGGAAGGTTTCAAGTATCTCAGTATAAAAAATATGGATTTTTGTTTGTCGGCTTTGATTATTTTGGGAGTCACTGAAAGTGCTCTGGAATGTGTCTTTTCTGTATTTCAAGAGACAAGAAGCTCCATTCTTTGTGTTTAACTTCGTGGATAATTCTGCCTAAGTTCAGGATTCTTCAGGAAATATTGTGCTCTTGGAGATAAGGTGGTTGGGTTTTTTTCTGGGTATTTTTGCTTATAAATGGAATTAATATTTGTCTCAATTATTTATTATTCCATTAATGCAGTCTCTGTGTTTTTTCAGGAATATTCAGGTCCTGAAATTTTATTTTAATGGGATGTAAAAAAAAAAGTATTAATAGCAAAAATTACTTTACTGTGAAGATAAAAATTGAACAGATTACAGAGTTCTTTACTCTACTGTGATCTTCTCTTACCCTATAGGAGTGCCAAATATGTTCAAGTATCAGGAAGCACTAGACTGTCACAATATTTAGTTTTTATACTACTAGTTTAAAAATTGCCTGGAGGATTGGTGACCTAAATGTATTTTTATATATGATAACTTTTGTGTGAAAAAAGAGAGGCAAAGAGAGCTGGTAGAGGAGCTCACGACTAAGATATTGCTGGCTTTAGGTAGGTATTCACATTACAGTACCTCTGTCAATGTGACCTGAGTGATATAAGTATTTCTTATTTAAAATTGATTAAGGATGGAGACTTGTACAAATGTAAATGTAAACGAGATACTGGAATTTCTGTTGAATGTTGGAGTCTATAAATAGTTTGAGATATTTAAAATGGCTTACCTTTTTTCCATCAGTGATTGAACTATATCTTAAGACTGGTTAAGGTGACTTCTCAAAAGGAAAGGGAAATGCCAGTTTAAGAGTGTAATTACTCTTCTTTTTTTGGAAAGAGATATTCAGCTGTTTTCATGTCTTTTTAATCTCTTTAATACTATTTGGAACAATAATAAAATCCTTCAAGAATTCTTTATTTTATTCTTTTATATTCTTTTATTCCTGTAAATTGCAATTGGAACCAAGACAAGAATAAAAAAAAGTAATTATTTAGCATTTATCTCGCTTGCAGAAATGAGACTGTGCTGATTCAATTCATTCAGAATTGTGTACATTTTATAAAAAACATTCAGTTTTGATAAATGTCCCTTCCTTAAGAACTCTGTATCCAACAAGGTGTCCTATCAAAGTTTTTGAGCAAGTCTTTGAGACTGCTGATATTATCATCTTGCATTTTCTAGACCAGCAGTGAGATTTCATGCAGGTTTTATAACTGTTTATGTTTTGTTACTGCAGTTGCACTGCTTTGAAAAAGAGCAAGGTCTCTAATATGTGAACTGTAAAATTGTAAAGCCAAAGAGAATACGATTTCTTGGGGAAAGAAAAAAGCAAAAGTAATCTGAGTTAAACAGCAGAGTGAAGTCTATGTTAATTATTGGCCTAGGAGTGATTGCTCTGCAATTTATATAAATATAACCATGAGCTCAGTGGACTGACTCCTGATTTATCATATAGGAGAGAATAGTTAACTTTTCTGCATGTTGCATTTTTCAATAAGCTTTGCCAGTTTCAAACTGAGCATCCACCTCAAAATTCTCAGAAAAATGGTTGTCTAGTTTTATAAAACTTTTTTTTTGAAATGGGAAAAGTAATGGAATTATGTTGATACTATCTGCATTTTTGTCTGCAGAGCTAATCCTTCATGATGCCATATGTTAAAAGCAAAATGAAAAAACCCCTCACTTCTTCAAACATGAATTATGAATTAGTTCTATTTTTATATTTTCTTGCAGAAGAGGATAATTAAGCAAAGAGAACAAGTGCAGTTAACAGCATATTATAGCATGCCATATATATTCAGGACCAATGATGAGTCTCAGGCTCGTTTCATGAGAAATCTTTGCAGTCTCTGCATTTCTGGTGTGTTCATTGTTGAGCAGTAGCATCTTAGCCTTCAGCGTGAGCATCAGAATATAAGGCTTTTGTGGACAAAGAAAACATTCTAATACACTCTGGTTCTTTTATTTTCCAGAATCATCCAGCCATACAACAAGAACAATCATGGTAAGTACAGAGGAGATTATAGGTATTGATCTGCTTATAGCTATGATTTTTTCTTTGAAAATGAAGTAGATATACTAGTATCCTAAGCCATCAGCTTTTTTTTTTTTTAAGTCCAATATCATTGTAGACATAAAATGAGTCTGTCTTTATTTCACGTGAAATCTTGGGGGGAAAAAAAATGAGAGATTAAACATCTTAAGAGCTTACAGTTCTGTCAGTTTGAATGTCTGAAAACTCCAAATGAAATTCTGTGTTCTGTGTTTAAGTGATTTTTTATTATGTCAAATTAATGTCGATAAATTTCTTGCATTTTATCTATACCACGTGGGGCAAAGCACATTTAAACTTCAGAACAATAGCTGAGTAATTTCCTGCACCGCATTCCTCAGAGGCCAGTTTCTGACTTCACCTTGAGTTTGATAATTTGGGTTCCAGAAGTAGGGAAATGTTTGAGTGGACAGATACACCTTCAAAAATGAGATTAGAAAGCTTTATGTAAGAAAATATCATGCACTTAGTGCCTCTTCTGCATTTTTATGAGAGAAAAAGGGTGAGAAATGTTTGTCTCTTTCAAACTCATAATCAAGTCAGATGAGGGCTGAAGATCAATTCACATAGAGAAAACCTTTCTCTGACAGGGATTGATTGAAGCCTGGCCTGTGGGTGTTTGAGGAGAGGGCTTTCTGCTTTTGGAAAAGACCATTTTTTGAGGCGAGCGTTGAAATTTTAGACTAAGCCCCAGCAAATCATGACGAGTTTATTTTCATTCCTACAGTTTTTAGGGCATCCCTTCAAGTTTATTTGCCTCTTCTTTATGTATGGCATTTATGGGCCATGTAAGTTCCTCCATGGATTTCTTGAGTCTACAGGGAATAAAAGGTTAATATAGTTCATTGGCTTTATCATCAATGGCCATTAATAATCCAGTGCAAATAAATTATAAATAGGGAAGGACTACAGATTACTACATATCAAAGTAGTAGAGATGTCTGGAAAAGTGATGTTTCTGTTTCCTGCTGGATGTAATGTAATCCTTCTTGGTCATAAATTTGTTTTAAATACACCCATTTCAAAAGAAGATGCTTATTTATTCAAGTGTATTCCTCTGTAACAAAATTTTGGAAGGGCTTGAAAAACTTTTTAATGTTTTTTCCATGCTGAGTTGGTGTTAGGAAAAGAGCAGGGCAATTGTGTTGAAGCTGTTTGGTGAACCCTTCACTCTGTTTTAACTTTACTCTTTTTTGTCCTATTAATTGTACTCTGAAAATACTCAGACTCTCTTTTCCATTAATGTATCAAAGCAGTTCTAAAACCTGAGCCAAAAGAGTGGGGGTTTTTCCTATATATATTTTTTTCTCCTACCAAAACTTGTCCTAAGTTTTAAAGAGAGAAGGAAAAGTTTTTTAAATAGCTCAAGTTCCTGAGGTTCCTGTATTGTAAACCTCTCCAGACCCCTCTGCTGACAACTCAGATGGCTCAGACCACAAATGAATGCTCTGCAGCCAGAGTGCAGTAATTCTTCATTGCACTTAAATAAATAAAGGTAGAATTAAAAGTAAGTATTCTGCTTACTGAGAAATTGTTATAGTAATGTCTGCTCTTCTCTGCAACTAAAGCATGACTGAATGTGTAAAAGAAAATGTCTTACTCCCCAATGAGTAAGTAGAATTTGTCAATAAAAACAGAAAATATGGTATTCCTTGCTTTAGAAACAGTATGAGATTATACATTCAATACAGATATAGTAAAGCAATACTGCTGAGAGCCAATGTATGAAATGAAGTCCCCTATTTCTCACTGATTATGGTTCTATTGTCACATAAAAAGTTAAAGCATGACCTTTAGTCATCAGAATATGAGAAGTACCACAGCAAATTTGTATAACTGCCTTGGTTGCTTTGATGTACAAGAACTTTTGTCTTTCCAAGGTGAAGTTTTAAACTTCTTTACAGTTGCATTTATGGGTATTGAAATAATGTAAGGCATTAAATCTGATCTTGTCTCTGAAGATACAGATTTATGCTGAAGTCAAAGCCAGCAAAGTATAGAGTGTGCTCTGCTAAAAAAACAAAGTGTAGTTTTTCTGAGGACATTACAAGAATTTTCTTTTGTATTTAAATGCAATGATAACAGCCTATTTTTTGTTTCAGATTCTTGTTCATAAAAATAAAAACCCCAGAAAATATTTTAAGTGTCTATGATGGGGAGAGAGGGAGAGCATACTCTGTTTTAACTATAAAATAAATTTCCTTTTGTTCTGTGCATAGTTGCCTAGCTTAATCTTTCATTACTAATTTACTGATTTCCATAAATAACTATTTACTTCAAAATTATACCTTCTAAGACATAATTTATTCAGAGTTTATATAGGTTGAGTGTACCATATATGGCAAACAGGGACCATAAATATTGTTGTATTTTAGCCCAGATGCTTTGACAAGTCAGCTGTCCTCTTTTAGGAGGGTTGTTTCTTTTGGGATTTTTGGGTGTTTTTGTTTTCCCTTGCACAGAAAAGTCACTGACTTTGATTTTCAGCATTACCACTATTGCAGGTGTTTGTGAAAGGTATTGTAGCAAATCCAGAGCTTCCAAAGTTATGCTTGTGTTGAGTACTTGGTTATTTTCTTGTATATGGTCTGTTGTTTGAAAATCTTTCATTTTTAATAGCCTTTGGGTTTTTAAATTAAATTCTATACCCAAAGTGGTTGTGTGCCTGCATGCTATTATCAACATTTGCGACTTCACGCTGTCTAGAGATTTTGGGTATTAATTTTTGCATTCATCTCACATTTCTATGAATAAGTAAACCAGCCACAAACCTTAATGCTTATTAAAGGTATAATGCTAATCCCTTTGGAAATAGGGATACCTCAGGTGTGGCAAAAGAGAATCAATACCTGATTTAAACTTAAGGTAATTCTAAACTTGTTATAAATGTTGTACTGTATAATTAGGTTAATGCAAAATATATGGAACCAATTAATATGGGTTATTGCCAGTCATCTGAGCATAGCTGATTTCTACTCGTGATTTTTTTTCTCCTTGTAGAGAGCTTATTTTGCTCTGCTTGCTTTCAATTGCCTTTTTTTTTTTTGTTTGTTTAAAGATGCAACAAAAAAAATTTAAAAATGTTAATTTAAGGCAATGGGAATGTTTTCCTTTTTTGAAAAAATGGGGAAAACATAAGAAATCATAAATTGAAATCCACTTAGGAATTTATGGTAGTCCAGTTAAACATTCCTTCGGCCATAGTACAAAAGTTCATCGTTACTTTTTACACTTTGAATTACTGTGGGTGTTATGTATTTTATTTCAAAGCAGAATGTGTTTTCAGACCTGAGTGTCTTTTCAGAATTTTTAGTGGCTCTCAATGAATAAATGTTTGACCACTTATATAGCAGTACAAACTGAGCAACCTCTAAGCGAGAACCTCGACTGGAATTTGGGATCTGGGTCCCATTTCTGAATTTGTACAGGATTCCTCTCTTAACTTATCATGCATCTCGGTATCCTTGTGCTTCTCTGGGAGCTTGCCACTTTAATGTAAGGTGTTTTTGGGATGGGATCCAGACTTCATTGGACTCGCAGCTGCCACTAGAGGAGATATCATGTGTACAGTGCTCCTACACAGTTATTTCCTTGGTTTACCTGCCACAGCAAAGCCTTCTGCCTGGTGCACCTTGTGTTGAAAAACCTGATTTACAGTTTTAACTCAGTGCTGGTTCTTCCAGAAGATTTGACAAAGATGTGTAGCTTCTTTGTGAAGGGATCACCTGTGCTCCTTGGAAGTTGGAGGTGTCTCTGTTGCCCACTGTGAAATGAATGCAGATGGGAAATTCATGCCCCTGCCAGGTGAGTTTTGATGAGCAGCACTTGCAAGCAGCAGAGAAATGGATCAGCATGGGGCAGGTGAAGCTGCCCAACAACCAGTCCTTATGTAAAGTCCTCTTTGTTGAAGACCTTGAAAAGATTGCCTTTGGTTTCTGAGCTTCTTCAGTCTGCAGCCTGGACACCACCTGTTTGACAGGTGAGACTCTTCCCAGAGAAAAACCCCTGATGACTTAAATATTTGTGTTCTTTACGGGATGTAAGTTTGCCTGAATCAGAACACTTCTTTCAAGTGCACTGAAAGGCTTTTCTCCTGATGTCTTTTGAGCATGGAACAATTTTGTCCCAGAATGAATGTACTCAGACTGAGATGAAGTACTTGGGAGAAAGGAGTCAGTCATCACAGAGGAAGATTTGTCCAAAATGCAAACTCCTGATGCTTTGTGCTGCTCTGATGTGCCCCTGGCATGCAGACCCTTAACACCAGTGGCTGTGTTGCAAACTCAGAGCACAGCTCATTAGTGAGGTACACAGTCAAAATCAAAGCAGCAGCAGCTGATTGCACACGATGGTGTTGTGAGGAAATGACTGAAGCTTTTTGCCAGTAGAGTTTTAAATGAGAAGGACTTCTGTGGTAGCACAGGGGAGTATTCCTGAGGTTTTCATAACCTTTCTGGCATAACTGTGTGCTAGGGGGGGAATCTGAATTCATCATCATCATAAAAGCAAAGCATTTAATGAGTACTTTGTATGAAAGTTCATTTTACTCTTGGTGTAGATATTAGTGTGACAGTGGCATTGAATGCTCATTTTCATACACATTGGTGAATATATTTTTTGAGAGGAACTAATGAACTGATTGCCTGGTCAAGAACTTCAGTTGTTTTTATTAACTTGAAATTAACGTGGTCCCTAGCACAGACTGGAGAACAATGATCTTATTTTCTCTTGTCCTTTTGTGAAATTTAATTAATTTCTTCAAATAGCTTGAAAGGGCTGTGGTAGAAGGGAAATAAAAGAGAAAATTCTAGCCAATTTGATGCAACAGAAATGAGATTATATTGTAAGCCTTGTGTCATTTTCTATAATGTTATCTCTTGCCTGGAATGAGGGTTAGGGGCTAATAAAAGTAGAAAAAAACAGAAGTTCTGAATTAGTTGCAATATCTGGCTCTGTCAAGGGAAAAAAGTGTCATGAAAAGAAAAGTGCTTTTTCCATCAGGCTTCACTGTTTTTCAGAGTTTATGCCACAGGAAAAATGCTTTTTGTACCTTGTACATTTTATGTTCATTTTTTGCCTTCACTTCTTATCTTTACTAAAGGAAACATTCAATGGCGTATTAGAAAGAAGCCTGGGAAAAAATCTGAATCATTGCATGAGATAACTTAAACCCATTAATGGACAACAAAAATATCCCATTGGAGCCCTTGAATGTTCCTCTGTAGTGTGTGGCACTGGCAATTGCCAGTTACCAATACTGAATGGGAAATCTGATGTGTGGCAATGTTTTCCATACATGACTTCTTAGTCTCTCTTTGAGCACCACCCACTATGTACAAGAAGAGATCAGCAGTTAAAAACCTTCATGAATTTCAAATTTCATAGCACCTATGTACTTTACCCTGAATTTATTCTAAATAAGAGCTGAATTCTAGTAGCATGTCTTTTAGGTCTTTTTCCCCACCAAAGCCAATATGAAAAAATCTGTGAAAGCCATACAGCAGTCTAGACACTGAATGAAAAAATGGAAAAAAAAATAAGTAAATATTTAAGAGGGCTACAAAGATAGATTAATGACCCTATGTGCAACAACAATTAAATTCACCATAAATCTTTATTTTTAAGGCAAAGGAAAATAGTTTAGCTCTAAGAAAGATTTATATGTGACTCACTCAAATATGATGTCTTGTTTCTCCTCTTCTTGTTTGGTTTTGTTACATGAGATCTAAGGAATCAGAGAGGAGATGGCTCAGTTACTCACAGTAGCATAATGAATGCTGGTATTTTCTGTCCAATGCATAAAATTTAAATCTCTGCTGGAGAGAGCGAATGGTGTGGATTGGGATGTGGTGAAAGTTTTGTCATAATGTGAATATAGTGCTTTGAATGTGAGTGTAAGAATTGTTCAGAAAAAATGATGCCTTTGTTTATCTTTTCTGGCTTTTATGTTTTTATGACATAATTTAAGAGATCAGTTCTCTCTTCTGCTGGTCTTTGTGGGTGCTACCAGCCCCTTCCTTACTCAGTGACCATGATGTTGGCCCCCTAATTAGGGGTATGAATGTGCAGCACTGCGTGCATTTACAAAAATGCTATCAGTAATGTGGAATACTGGTATTATTTCACCAAGGAAATAGTACTTTTACCTGAGAAAACATGATGTTGAATGCACGTGAGATAAAGTAAGTAAATTTTCACCTTTGTGTAATATCTTCTATTGGTTTTGTCCAACTGTTGTTAGTTAGTCCTGCTGCTGATCAATTATGTGGGAAACAAGATTCAGATTTCCAAGATTAATATTTTTGTCATGGTGTATTCTTCCAAAACATTACCTATAGATGATCAAGGAAACATTTTCACTCCTCATGTGTCAGAAGACAGCTCCTTTTGTTAGCTCTTAGTACTTGCTCTCAGTGCACAATTACTCTGGGTAAAGGTTTAGTGGAAATTCAGTATGTTGTTTTCAGTTTGATGTTATCAGCTATGAAATGAATGCAGATGTACTGCAGGTAGCTCTAACTACACAAAGACCAGTGAGTAAGCCTAACAGCCATGGCACCAGCATGGTGATATAAACCTCTATTTTGCTGCTCCTGTTCAGGTTAGCAGCAAGACCAAACCACTTTTCTTATTCAGTGACTTCTATTGAAAAATAAAGACAGGCAGAGTAAGGGCCTGCAAAGTGAGAAGTATGATTTTTTTAAAAATTAGTTTAATGCCATACTTGGATGGAAAAATACATCTTGTGTTTCATTGCTTGGGATATTGTTTTTTTTTTCTCAGAAATCTCTTCTAAAATCAACGGGTTTCTGTTTCTGAATTACTTTGTTCATAGCATTGATTCATGCCTCAATATCTTTTTGTATAACTTGGCATTAGCAATAGCTAATTTAGTTTTTAAAGAGCTTTAAAACCTGTGCATAAGACATGTCAATGGGCACAGGTTGGTTGTTATCTTACCCCCAGGTGCTGATTGAGGCAGATGAGCCAGGTTTTGAGACGTGTGTAGGCTGCCCTTTACAGCAGAATTCATTAATGGAACTATGCTTGTTCTCAGACAAACTCTTTTCCCTTTTATTATGATTTCAGCACGCTGCTCCCCACATCCATATGACTAATGGCAAGGCCTTGCAAGCCAGTGCAAGTGCCATTAAGACAAGCACCATTCCAGTAATCAAGAGACAGAGGCAAAATTGGCTTGATGCTTCAGACGATGGTTTCTTTATAGCCACAGAAGAGACCAGGTAAGAGGAAATGGAATCTTAGCAGGGAATGAGGCTTCACTGCATACGTGCTATTGATCCACTATTTCAATAACAGCTTTTGACATCATTATCTGAGGTTGCATTACAGCAAAAAAAATCATGTTTGGCACATGTCAAACTTTGCATCTTCTATCTACTAATATTATCAGCATTTCATTAATAAGACTTAGTGCTACTTTTCTGTGGCAAAGATTAGAACTTTTAAATTTATTTTAGATTATATGCAATGAGATTTTGGGCACCTCTGATCATTTAGTAAAATATAAATGCATCTACAGTGTAGGCTATCCTCGAAAATTTTTAGAACTTGAAAAATACTGTACAGCAGAGAAATCAACAGCTGACAGCATCTTTCCCAGGCTAGAAGTTGATTTCGTTTAAGAGCAACTGAGATTATAATCTCCTTCAGCCTATCATTTGCAGATTAATTGGTAAAATTTAATGAGCTTTTGCTTTTTCCAAAAGAGCTTGATATCATGGAAGAGATACTAGTTTTTTTGGAGGTTCCTCTGTTCTGTTCTTTTCTTCTGCTGTCTGGCCCTTCCTTGGTTTAATTCAGACTAAGACAAGAAGTTTCAGTTTGTTATTGTAAACTGTGCTTGCTGGGACTGTTATTTAAAAACCTTTAATATCTTGCTTAATTACAGCAAGTAATTAATCAGACTGTTCCTCACTTCTGTGATTATTTCACAAGCCTAGAAAAGCTGGTAGTTGAAGAAAAATGTAAATAATAAAAAGAGGGAAGAGAAAAACATATGAAAATATAGAGATAACCAAGGAAAACATGCACGTTTAATCCCATTAATGGCAGAGTCAGCTAGGAAAGTTAACATACTAGCACATGATAATTTTGTGTTTATTTCAACATAGTTGATTATGGCACTTTTTGGCTTTTTTATGAGGAATGCAACAATTCAGAGAGTGGTAAGAGGCTCTTAAGCTGATGAGCTCTTAGGCTTCTGATTCCAGCCCAGATTGATGGCATTTTGAGAGTTGTTTGATACAAAGACCTTAGTAATATCAGACTAATCCCTAGCAATTGGATCCTGAAAGTGAGACTGATTACCTTTTGAAGTTTTAGAATTTTCAATTTAATTTTTTCCCAGTGTTATAGAGGACTGCCTATCAAAGGATGAGAAGAGTCTTACACGGGCACTGATCTCTCCACTGATCTGAGAGGCAGCCCAGACAATTTACCTGGACTAGATATTTAAATTTTAGGTGGTTGAAGTGTAGTGGGATGAGTTCTGGATTTGCAAATCGCTCATCTCTGATAGCTCTGCTTGTTCTCATCCTAGGAAATGCCCCTCCCGACTCCCAGGGATGCAGACCCCATACCCAGACCAGGGAGAAAGCAGAGCTGTTTCTGGCTCTGCATCCAGGGTGGGGCAAAACAAGGGTCTCAGTCCTCAGGGGTCTGTGTCTGCCGCTCTTCTCCAAATCATGAACAGTTTAAAGAAACATTTGAAACCTCCTGGTATGGGGAGCACGGGGAAGTTGGATCTCACTGATACTCCTCAAACAAGGAGGTGCCTGAACATGTGCTGTTGCATCACTCTGGCAGGTGCTGGAGCAGCACAGCAGGGAATGCTTTTTATCCTTTGAAACTCTGTTTCACCTTGTCTTTCACAGGAATTTTCCTTATTATTTTTAATTATTTTATTTTATTTATTTTTAATTTTCCTGTCCTCATGTCGTTCCCATTGACTCCTTCCCTCACGTGTGCTGTCTCCTTTCTAATTTTTTCCTTTGATTACTTTCACCTTTACCCCAAAACTGTTTAGACCTGGGGTAACTTGTTCTTCTCTGGGCTCTGAAAAACCCAGCCTTTAGAGCTCCAAGTGGAAAGCACTGGTTCTGCTGCTAGGAATGCCCTAATGTCCAAGGCAACAATTAAATGCTCTGTTTTTTGAGGGCAGATGGAGGCAGACAGAGTCCCTGACAGCCAGCCTGTCCTGTGATAGGTGATCACACAGCTCAGCACTGCCAGGACAAAGTTGAACACAATAATTGCAATGGGAGGAGATGTCTAGGGAGGAGATACTTGAAAAAACAGCACACAATTTACCCAGTCCTGGTATGGAATGGAAAAAAAAAAAAAATTGCAACTAATAAGAATTACCTGCCAGGGAGCAGCCATTAGGTTCTGAACATGTTCTGAACACTCAGCTCAGAAATAATCACCCCATCTAAGGTCACAACTGGTTCTTTTGGGAACTTTTTTTGTGCTCCATCAGGATCCAATCTGTTTTATCATGTGAATTTGTTCATTAAAANAGACATGCTAATTATAGAAAAAGGAAAATATTTTTCAGTATCATGGTTTCTTTTTCAACAGTCTACAACAATTTTCATTTCTCTGTCCTAAAATAAATTTTTTGTCTAGTGAATTAGTGTTTAAGATGCACATTTCTATAAAACACTAAGTAGGGAGTCTAGAGGGTAAATTTTTTTGCAGAAATTTAGTTTTAAAAGCCTGTGCTATACTAGATGATATCCACAGAGAAGAAAAAAAGAGTAGTAATATTGCTCCTAGACTAAATGACGTACCAGTCTATTTCTTGCTAATCAAACCCAAGATGCACATGAGCATTCTCATTATTTATCAATAGATAAGATGAATATATGTATTTAATACTACATTTTAGAAGAATTTTTAGTAATATTAATTTTTAGTAATAACACTTTCCTCTCTGAATTTAAGCAGAAATACTATTTCTGTAGAGTTAACTCTTCTCTATCTAATTGCTCACATATTTGAGATATTTGTAGCAATGGATGTGAAATAGTAAGAGCAGTGAAAATAACCATGGGAATTATGTATCATCCAAGCTTTCCAGAGTTACCCTTGGAGTTACTCTAGAATTTTAGGGCAGTGCCTTTCTCTCTACACTCAGGCCAAAGTTCAACAATGCCTGCAGGTATTCTTAAAAATTACTGTGAACTTGTGTATCATGGAAACACAAGGACTGGAGTTTACACTGGAAGCTGAACATATTTTTAGGTGCTAATCTTCCCTTCTGAGCAGAACAGGAATGTATTTTATATCAGTGGCAATGCACATCCTCATACATTTCAGCTTTGTTTTTCAGTTGTAGCTATTTGAAAGCCATTTCCTCCCCTGTTTATCAGTATCTGCACATCTGGGGAAAAGTGGCAGCAGAACTCCCGTTTGTGTTTCCCTCTTTCCCAGCCCAGTTGCCTCTGCAGAGCTGGGCTGCATGTTAACACGGTGCTGAGCCCCAGCCATTGCAGCCCACAGCCACTTTGGGGAAGAGGCAGAGTTTTTCCATGCCTGTTAGTGCCTTGAAAGGATCACCCCCATGAATTTTGCTATGTGTGTACGTGGATGTCCTTCTGAACACTGTCAGCAAGCTCAGTGAATTTTGCCAATGAATACAGAGGTCGCCAGTTCTGCTATCTCATCTCTAGTGACAAGCTGTGCTCTCTATTCCAAACCCTCCCTGATGCCTGTGTGAGACCAGTTCCCGTGGGATTTCCCTGCCTCTGTTCAGTCACAGGCTCACAGCAGGGATTTATCTAGACAGAAAACCACATGGCAGTTCGAGAACACTTGCCTTTTGACATTACATCATAATTTTATGTTGACCTTTACTGGCTTTAATATTTTTGTATTTTTCTTTATTTGTATCCTTTTCGAATGAAAAAGAAATTCTCGTTCCCTACTGTGAAATAACTTGCTGAAGATTTTATTCTAAAGTACAAATCTGTTTACACAATTCATTGGAAAAATCACTCTTTAAAGAGCCTCATGTTTATCACTGCTCACCAAAAGACTGTCTTTACTTTTTTTTTAATATCCTTAGATATTAGTTGCTAGGATTCTTCTAGCACTATGTGCAAGCTTTAGGATAAGCCAGAAGTCTCCTAACCATAAAAGCATTTTATTCATTTCTTTGTACTAAATCAGCTTTGCTATAAAGAAATTTTTTGGGTGATGTGGGTTCTGTTGTAGGCCCAATAGGTCAACAGAGAAAATTACCATATTGCGAGGAACTAAATTCTTTATACAGAATTGCTATTCTGGGAGCTAATAATTGAAAAAAATTTGAACAGTTTATATTATGGTCTTTGGAACCATAGTAAAATGTAATAGAGTGTCTTAATATCTTGAGTTATATAAGATAAAACATCATCTTTGAGTAAAATTAATAATATTGCTATTGAACCATTCGATGTCAAGGGGAATATATCTGTTGATTAAAACTTTTCTTACCAATTCTAGGTATGCAGTGTGCCTCTATTTCCTATACACACACTCTGTCCCTAACAGAGTGCATGTGCATGCCAATGGTCAGACTTGTGTAGGGACAGCTAAAACACTGGTTGGTAAATGAATTTTTTTTTTTTTCAGCATTTGCATTATAAGAAATGTGTGGAAATGTTTGGCTGGCTGCATTATAGCAGCGGATTCTATGTGCTTTCCCTTCATGGGCCAAAAAGCATATTTGCATATAGATCTGCAGTTGAATGACTCAATGCTTGTTTCCTTTCAGTGCTGAAGCAGTTAGAAACCTTCTCACGGTAAGTGCAACTCCATTGGGAATGAGTTAACTGCAACTGCTAAAATTAGAACATGATCTTTAGCTGCTACCAGCAGACATGGCTTCCTTTTTTTGCTGATGATAAAATGATTTGAGAGGCATCCCTGTGGCAGCATTATACAGGCAATTTTCTTATCCCTCACTTCATGTTCTGTCTCCAAAAGGAAAAATCTTCCCTTGATTTGTTGAGGTGCTACGTAAGGATATCACAATTGCTGTGATAATTACCTGGTACCACTCATTTTTATTTATGCATGTCTCATAGCACACAGAGAAAAAGCTTAAAATCCCAAGTTGCATGTCGAGAAAGAAGAGAATGTGAGGCTGACAACCAGCTTCTGCAGAATGTTGAGTCTTGCTGTGCTGTCAGTGGTCTGCTTCTCTTGCAGAAGTGGGGGAGAGCCACGCTGGCGCTCATGGCCCTTGGTGCTCCTGCACGCGCTCTGCCCTCCCCGCAGCGCAGCTTCATCCATGGAAACCCCAACCCGTGCCTCGAAACACAAACTGGCAACCTGCCACAACCAAAGACAGAGTTCAGAGCTGTGGGTGCCCTGCTCCTGCCCCCCTCTCTCTCCCATGTGTGCTCTAATCTAGGCTTAGGCAAGGTCATGCACAGTGCTTGAGCTGCTGGGAGAAAAGGCAAAACTGGAGGAGTAAGGCTTCGGTGCCTGGGGTCTGATACACAGTGCAGAGCTGCAGGTCTACATCCGAGCCAGAGTTCCAGTGCTAACTGTTCTCCTCCTTCTTCCTCCTCACAATTCCTATCACACAAATGTCCATGGGTATGATTACTCTTTCTTTTCCAGCTGGCCCCAACTCTGCAAAAAAATTTGTGCACCAAAACAAAAAAAGGGTTTTTTTACCTCTGCTTTTCATGAGGCACTTTGATTTGAATTGGGATCCTGGTTTTGAACTACACCACACTAGGATCCTGGGCATAGTGCATTTTAATTTCTTACCTGCATGGTACCATGGCCTTTAGACCCCAGTCCTGTTACCAGCTGCAAGAATTTGCCTGGCTGCACTCATGAAGCATCAGCTGCAAACCTGAGAATGTGATGCACCAGCTCTCTAACAAAAAACTCTATCAGTCTCTAAGGATGTAATTTTCCAGCTCCTTTACTTCTGATTTATTATAGAGTTGTCATACATCTTGAAAAGCAGGGATTACAGAATATATCCCTTAGAATTCTGTTTAATCCCTCCTGATAGGATTGCAAATATCTTATTGATTGGCCACATCCGAGTCCAGGTGAACTGACAGCTCTCTCCAGTCACTGTGACAATACCTTGTGTGTGAGGAATTCAGGGAGGAGCTGTCCTTGCTACAGTTTAGGAGCCATCCTACTCGGTTAACTTCCATTCAAAGCTGTTATATGCTCTTGAGAGAACATAATAGCTTCTGTGAGATGTTATTTTGACCTTATTTCTTGTGGTCTATTCATGAATGCTGTGCACTGTTCACATTTTATAAATCATATTTTTCTGAGCCCCAGCTGACACACTGTGATACAGAATCACAAGCAGCAGTACAGAAACTAGATCATAATCTCTTACCATTCATTTGTCATTGAGCAGCTTTCATGGGTCTGAAGACATTTTCTTTCAATATTTAGCTACATGAATTTTTTCCTACTAAATCAGAATAACACTATTGTGATAATGCAAATGTTTGTTTTTAAAAGCATGCTTTTTCCGTGGAACTAAAACAACTCATTTGAAGAATGTGAATTTTTTAAACTTAATGAATCAGAGCTATATACAAGGAAAACACTTTCACAAAAGCCCCTCAGAGCTCAGTGTAAGTTATGCCATTGGACAGAGCTGGGAGATTTGAGAAGCACGTGCTGTTATGGGGTTTGCTTTATCAGTCTTCAGAGCAAATGAAATACAATCATGCCGGTTTGGAGCTATGGATTAATTTTCTCACAGTTTAAAATGGAGTATCAGTGGCACTGTAGTAACCTTCTTGCCCTGTTTAATGCCACATGGTAGTGGAAGGATGCTTGGGGCACTTGCCTAGGACTTGGAAAACCATGATTCAGTTCCCTGCTTCCTCACAGACCACCCATGATATTCAAGCAGGTCTTTTAAGTCTGTATCTCCAAGCATTTATATACCTGACTCCTCAAACACAAAATTAAGAAGGTGCCTAAGTGCTTGCTTGAAAGTTTGGAGGCAAAGAACAGGTAACTGCTGCTCCTTGCCTAAAGAATCAGATGAAGCCTTCTCATTCTTCCAGAGCACTGCTCCACACGGAGCAGGTCAGGAGCCTTAGAGGGGATCTTGTTTAAGAGAAAACTCTTTACCTTTGTTGGTATTACAGTCTCATGGAAATGCCACCCACAGGAGTCCAGAAGCTGCTGACTGAAATTGGATGATTTGTTAGTTTCAGAGCTGTCTCCACTGATTAGCAGGTGAAAATTAATTAGCATACTGCTTTGGTGATGACCGCAGGGAGGCTGGGGCTAGGAACAGATGGCTGTAAATGACCTAGTTACTGCTGCCTGAAAAGTCACACCTTTGGCTCTTGTGAGATGATCCTGCCCTGTTGTGAGCAGAAATTCAAATATGCTGCCTCTCCAGGGGGGCTTAGATACCAAAGTTTGCTTTGCAATTGCATCTTAGGTCAGAGCTTGAATGTGGTTCATTCACATGACTCAGCTAAAAAACAAAGGCACGTTTAGAAGGGTCCCTCAGCCACTTGCAATCTTCTCCAATGCTGTTGACAAATGTTCTCTCACATTCAGACAGTAGGTGCAGAAAATAGCCGGAAAATTTTATATTTGGGAAGGGAAATACAATTTCTAAAATGAGCCTTTCTGTAAAATTTTGTTGTCTTGGGAAAATTGGGAGGGAAAGAAAACCTCAAAAACTTAGATGAAACACAGGGATGATAAATGCATTAAACACAGATGTTGGTGGAGAAGCTCCTGTATAAGCACTTGACTTTTCCAAAAACCTTGTTTTCTTTGCTGGACTTTCCAGACCCAATTCAGCAAAGCCCTTAAATTCATTCCTGAGCTCAGTCCATCAGCTGGAGTACATCACATAGTCCCCAATACACCCTATATGTCTGATGTTAGATTGGGATGCCAAGCAGTTTGTTAACCTGTTTTCTTACGGTTCTTGACAAATTTTGTGTTTCCTGCAGTATGGTTGGCAATTTCAAAAGGATTTTTTTTTTTTCAGGAGCTGTCTTTTGTGTTTGCACAGAGGATTTGATGTAGCTGAATCCAATCCTCTTTATTGAATGTTTTAACTGAAAGTCTTAGGGCTTAGCTTTTTGTTAGCTTGCTGCTTAGCTTTTTCCTAAATCCACATATCCAGTGGGAATGTGTCATCTTGTAATATTTGGCCGTTTTCTATTGTGGGAGTTAAAACCAATTTGGTTTTGAACAAGAAGAAATTTTTCTATAAATAAGCATCTTTGTATGGGAAGCCAATTTCTCTGTCAAAGCCTTGGGAAACATACAAAGTAAAATAATAATGCAAACTTGTCAGACCAACGTATTTAAATCTCAAAGAAAAGATAGAGAAAACATTTATTATGCAATTGTTACCTATAGCGAGGCTAGAGCAACATCAGCTTAGGGCTAAAATTAGTCTACTCTCACCATTCCTATGATAAACCATGGTATTTTCTCACCTTAGATCTTAGATATTGATGATAGTAATCCTAAAATACTGTGCAATATCACTGTTCAGAGATATTTTTCCCTTTTCATGATTTCTGTGCTACATGAGCAGCAGTAACTCGTAGAAGCAAAGAAGTGTTTCATCTGAAGGCAGAGAAATACACAGCAATAATGTGCATGTAGGCAGGGAATCTGTGTAAGTCCTGGGGTGAACACACTGTTGCTAAAGTTAAATAGCAAAAAAGATTATAAAATTGTACCCTGGTGTATATGTTAAAAAATATGGTGTCAGTGATCCTCACAATCTTAAAATTCACACAGAACTGCCCACTAAATTTAATTCCTAAGTTGCCCTCTATGAGAGTCTTCGTTTCAAATTACAGATGGAGGATTTAATTCTGAATTAGTCCATATTTCAGTGCATATATTTAATCATTCATTCTTAATACTTTCCCTGATAATTTTGGGGCTTTTTAAACTCATGACCCTCTGGCATAAATGTAGGTAAGGCTGTGGAAAAACAAGTGTTAGTTGGTCTCTTTTTGTGAAAAAGCTTGCATAAGTAACTACAGAGGCATTTTAAATATAAAATACCATGGAGAACATATTGACTGTGACTGTGAAAGTCAATCACAGAGATAACTAACAGATCTTGTCAAACATCTAAGGAAACTTGACTGGCTGTTTTTGTAACTTGTGCTATGGGTAGAGGCTAAAACACTTACTTGACAAAATACTATTTAAGTGTTTTTCTTGCGGAGAAAACGCAGATGCAAAATTTAAAATTCTGAGGTTGCCTCTTGCTTGATGTGAGACACCAGACAAGTAATTTAATTTCTCTATCTCCACCATTTTGTCTGTAAGCTTGAGTAATATTGGTGTACGCCTACTCCTTAGGATGCTGTGCAGTTTTTAATTAGCCAGTCCAACAAGCACTAGGAGATACTGATGTGAAAAATGCTGCCCATAAATGTGGAGAGCAGGATGAGTGGCAGGAAATGAACTTGAATAGATCTTTGGTCACATAAATATTGTTTAAAAATTTAAAAAAAACCTTCAACCCTTGACATGAAAATGACCTTAGAAATTAGCATCAAATCATTCTGTGGCAAAGCTTTGCTCCGTTGATGCCACACTACAATTTTCTAATCCATATTCTGCACTGGAGCTTCTGTGTGTAGAGAAATGCTGATTAAACAAGAGATTGATGGTGTGAAGCAGAGCCCCAGGGGATGGGCTTGTGAGGGAACTTTTGCTCTCCAACTGTTTCTGGTAAGACTGAATAATTTTTATTTTTCGGCCCTTGCTTAATAGCAAGTATCCAGGATGCCAAGAACCTCCT